CTAGGAGAATGCCGTGGGAGACAGTGTGATAATGCTGGTTCTGCATGTTCCTAACACACCTGAAACTCTAGATTTTGTACTAAGTGCCACTCATTAACTCCAGCAGCTCTCTGTAGAAGTGTAAGATATTTGTTCACACATAATTCATTGCCACTTTAGAATTCACCATCCAAAAGAAGCACTTACGAGCATATGGAGGGGAGGGTCCCGTGTTTAAATAAACCTTTTGATGTTCTTTTGCAGTTTTATGTGAAAACTTATCAGCATAATGACCCATCAGTGGGCATCCTTCCTTCGGACATGGGAAGCAGTGTCCCTGGGGGAAAATAAGATGTGTTACAAGACACTGTCTGTTTTAATCCCACTTCTTAAAGTATAAGAAATTAGGGCATTTCAGATTTTTTCCAGCTTTTTTGAAAAGGTACTTGGTTCTGAGTTCACATCATATCTTCAGTATTTATTGGTGTGGTGAGAAAAGGAGCTGAGATGGTCAGTCAGCTTATTTCATCTGGTTGAAAATCAGAGAGAAACAGATTGAAAATCTGGCCTAGTTCCTTATGCTCTTGCAGAGACCATAAGTAAATACCTTAATGCATGTTGTGCCTTACTATCCGATCTGTAAAATATAGGTGATATATTCATCTTTCATAGGGTCCATTGAAAGGCTGTCTGCTAATCATTATAGGGTGGCTAACTATATTTGTAAACAGGTCTGGCTGGATATCTCACTCATATGGTAAAGATATTTAAGTTTAGGAATACTGAAGCTTGGAATCTCGTTTTGGAATGTGTTCTGTCTGCTTTTCAGCCTTTATTCCCGTGCACAACCTTAATGAAATTAATCTACCTACATAGATCAAACATTCAGATCAAGACCTTGATGTCCATTAAAATAAAAAAAAAAAGATAAGCGTGTATATTTTCAATGATAGTGATTTAATTGCAGTTGGAAAAAATAACATTGTTATATTTAGATAGTTCAATTTTGATATTTGGGAGGTTCTGCAGGAACTGGTATTTGTGGATTTTTGGCTAGTTGGGCATTAGATGAATAAAAGGCTAAATAATCATCATCACTTGTTTATTTTGAGATTGAAAAAAACATTTCCCTCACATCACTAAATTGCACAAGGTTCAGGTTTTCAAGTCCTGAATTATATCAAACTTTCAAGTTACATGGCAGCACTGCTACAAACATTAACAACTTTTCCGCGGTATTGTAATCATTCCTTTTGGGAGTAGATGGAAATAAATTCAGACTTGTCTTCCTTCTTGACCAGTCCTCAGTTGCATTGCCAGAATTGCTCCACTAAAATCCCAGTTATATCAGATATGAAACACCAGGACATTATGCTGCCTTCTTTCTTGTGCCACCTGAGGGTTGTGTGAGCAATGCTGTGCTGTATAAATACCTCCCCTGCCCGATATACTATGGATGTTTATTGTTTATACAGATGCTTAAACATTTTGGAAATCCAGAGGCTGTCCTCTTGATGGTGGGTTCCACCAGGTTTAGATGGACTTCCTTCAACCAGGCTGAGCGTCCCTTACTGCTGACCTACGCAAAAGGTGAACCCAGCCACTGCCTCTCATTGCCCTCTTACTCAGCTCTTCATATCTCCCTTTGTAACTGTTTTTGGTGTTTATATTTACTGCCTTGTTTTCTTCTGGATCTTTTTTTTTTTGGAGTTTGCTGTGTTTACATTTTGTCTGGTTTTTGGGTATGGTCTGGATGAGGGTAGTCAGTGAGTCTGCATAACCCCCCTTTATCCCATGATCCAGAGTGTAGAAGTTGTCCCAGAAATTATTACGAAAAGAAGGGCAGGACTATAACCCCTCAGATAAATATGTACTGGTACTTACCAATACAAAAGCTCGGTATGTTTCACACTGATACCCAACAAATCCATTGGGAGTGATAATACTCTCAGCATAATACCGGAGACTTCTTTTATGTCCACATCCAATAGACCTATATGCTGGGAAGAAGCCCAAGTAAAAAAGATTAAAGCTATACATTAAGTCCACGCCAAAGCAACACTTGTGGGTCTTTTTTCCTCAAAAGCATTTGTACATACAGTGAAGTCTCAGATTAAAAAAAAAAGTAATAATTAAAAGATGTTTAAAGTGTGAATTATTTGGTTTTATACTAAAAAGTGTACTTACGGCTACACATATTTTTTCAATGGGGAAGAGCTAGGTTCTAATTTGCATGTGCCGGTGCTCATGCTGAAGTTAACAGAGGTGGAGATGCACCAAGGTGGACCTTGTGCAGCCTCCCGTTCTGCTATGTGTACTTAACTGCTTTTACTTTAGCATGAGAACCGGGGAGGATTTAGGAGAATTTCCCTTTGATATTTCAAAGACTGGAATAGCTACAGCATTTGTAAAGCATATAGTTACTGTGACGTAGTATTCATTTGTTTACCGTTATTACAACATGGTATTTTGCAAAACCACCGTTTCCACTCATTTCTAGAATTAAAGGTAATTGTAGTAATTATTTTAACTTCAGTGGTGATTCTGTGAAATGCTCTGAAAAGCAAGATGTTTGGCAGTGTGTCCTTGATTTTGTCAGAATTGTTTGAAACAAGTACGTTTTCCCATCAGAGTGAAATCTATAAGCAGTCGGTGCAGGAAGGAAGAAAGTGCTATTTGGGTTATATTTACAGGTCCCTTGTAACAAGTATTGTCTTCATTGGCTCTGAAGTCTCTCCTTTATCAAAGCACAATATACTAAAGTTAGGTTGTGTAAAAATAAGCTCTACTCTGCTTCAGCATGTGTGTGCTCACCCAATCACAGGGTGAAGCCTTGGAGGCACTGAAGAAATTGCAAGCTGGCACAGTTTATAGTGAAATCAGAATTTCACCTACTGTCAATATTTATGCATCTTGAAGACAGACCAGTTGGTATTGACCAGTTGACACACATTGTTCTTTACATAAGGAAAGAAAACAACACATCAAAACCCCTCTAAAAAGTATTTTTATCTGTTTTTCTGGAAAATAATCTGCATCATCAAGGCTTCCTGAGTATGTTTTCTTTCTAGTTCCTTCTTTAAATCTAATTCAAAAAGGTCTGTGCTTTTAACTTAAACTTCAGCTCTTACTGTTGGCTTACCTTGTGCTAGTGCCAAATTCACTTAACATCTATACAATGGGAACATAACACTCCTCTCCCTACTGCATCAAAAGCTGTAGAAAGAAGTTACTAAATAGCATTTCTAAAGCACTTCATACATAAAAGCACTACAGAAATCTAAATATCAAACGGAAGAGATATGCACAAAGTAAGGTTTAACCAAGAGGCGGGAGTTAAGGCTGTCTCTATTTTTAGGAGCTGCATGAACAACCAACTCCATCTGCTCGTGTTCAGTAGAGCTGAGCTTCTCTTTAACCACGAAACATTGCAAACAGCCTTGTGAAATGTTTCTAGGAAATATTTAATTTTTTTGCTGAAAATGCAGACATTCTTACGCAGTCCAATTGGAAAGTGTTTTGGTTCCAAATGACTTTGCGCACAGACAGCTTTCAGTCCTCTTTGTTACTCAGTCCTCCAACCAGTTCTAAGACAGAGCATTTTTGAAAGGCAATTACTGAACTAGCGGTAGGGATTTCAAAACGTTTAGCTGTGAATAACAACGTTCTCATTTCTGTAGGTTAGGATCAGAAGACAGGATTTGGGGGATCTGTTGTACTGGATCCCAGGGTAATTTTGATTAACTGCCCAGCTTTCTTTGAAGAACATGAACTATCAATGGAGCAGTCATTTTATCATCTTCTATATTTTTAACCTTGTACTGTTCCCTTTGAAGACACTAAAGCTGTTAAAGGCATGGATGAGTATGTCTAATATTGGGACCAATGTCTTTCTGGGGAGAAGGGAAGCTCAGATTTTAAAATACTCATTTTTGGATTATCCTTGAACGAAATTTTGCCGGTCCTTCATGTGTGGAATTCCCACTGAGGTCAGTCTGTCAGCACAGTGGCAGGCTCATACAAAGGTTGTGATGAACAAGTCTGCATGCTTTAACTGAAGTTGCCATCTGGAATTTGCCTTGGTTAGTATAAAAGAAAATTGGAGGGTATTTCACAGGCAGCTGTAAATCTTCCATTTTTGAGCATTCTCTCCCTACTCCAAATCTGAGCTATATAAATAATCTATACATTCAAAAGGCTTTACCTTATCCTAGCCTTTATTTCTAACTGTAGCTTATAATGAGGTATTACTTCTTTAAAATATATTTACCTCTCATAAGGTCATTAATATTCCTAGTTGCAGGAGGTACACGAAGCTGCTTGCATCCTGGCATCTTCTTCCCACCATTTGGGTAAAAATCAAGGTGGCCACAAGTCTGAAGAATCCCTGGAGCTGAAATGCACAATGAATCGAGGCTGATCACTCTCAGGTACGCCGTGGCCAACCTCTGTGTTGGTGTCAGCCTTTGCGTGAAAACTTACCAAAGTCAAAGAAAAGATGACCAGCGTGAGTATGAATTATATCAACAAATTTTGCGTCTGAAGGATCCAGCCTAACCATTGTGGGAGTATACTGGAAAAGGGGGCCAGCTGGATCCAAACCTAAATAAATGGAGATACGTCTGATTAAGTAAATAATACTATATGTATGTCATCCCTACAGTGTGTGTATACTGTATGTCATTACATTTCTGCCTTTACTCCACATATAAAAATCCATTTTGTGATCCACAGCCAGCAAAACAAGCAGGGTTTTAATATGCAAAGGAGGCATTGCGGCACAGTAAAATGCTGATGGGTGCTTGGCTTACTTGTGGGGAACAATGTTATAAGAAGAGGTTTGGGGGTTTTTTGCACGTTAGTGAAAAATATGAAATCTTGATGTGTTACTCTGAGCATGTAGATTTGTTTGAGGATTTTTATTTGGTCAAAAATCTATTTTTATTTCTGAAAGCTTGGTTGAAAATGTTACCCCTTCACTTCAGTGTCAGTGATCTCTCTTTGGGGCTAAAGCAACACAGTTCTGATCCCAGTTTCCCTGAATTGTTTATGTGACTGCTTACTGTGTACACAGCTTAGTCAAAGCAATGTCTATGCAGAGAAAAGAACTGACTGGAGCAGAAAGGAAAGCAGAAAATAGTGAGCCTTTAAAAAAATGGTGTATGAGTTTGTCATGACACTGTGTCTCTCTGTGGAGCTATGCGACTAACAGCTTTCTAGCCTTTCCATGGCTATTTGCTGTCTCATCCTGACACACTGGATCTAGGGTTTTTAATTTTTCATTTCAGATTTTCAATCTTTTGAACTGCTGAACAGTCATGTTAGAGTGGGCTTTTAAAACCAAATATAATAATGAGTTGCTACTGTGTTTTACCAGTCTGTTATTCCTGTAATACTTGTACTATAGTATTTTGTTCCTGTTCTTTTATATAATTAAAAATCAAAACCAAGCGTTCCCTGGGACTTGTTGTGACCTGTGAAAAGTCAGGACAATTAAGCCTTTCCGATCTGTTGCAGTCGAGCCTTTCTCAGAGTTGTGAACATTGACATGTGAAATGCATGGCATGTGATGGGACATGGCTTCGTTTGTGTGCCATCATGCTAACTGTATACTGCTAATTACGAGAAACCAGCACATTGCGGTCTGTATTGTGTGTTTATAACACAGCAGTGATTCTTCAGTTCTCTTAAGTCGCATGAAAATACAAAGCTTCATCAGTTGAAATAGCTTCAGTACCCGTTATTCTTCCAATGCCAGGTTTCCTTCTCCCTGCCTCCCCTGCGGCATGTGCTCCAAGACTATGGCCGATGAAATGAATGTTGGCAGGAGAGTAGCCATAGTCTTTCTGTGAAGATGTATGGAAAGGAAAAAACAAGCGTGTTAAGCAGGGGATACAAGCCTGTGGCACTGCACCATGGCCCCACTCTCTGCCAGGACACGGCCAGACCAGCGGGCGATGGAGAGGAGTGTCTTGGATGGGAAGTTACTGTTGCAGATGGTGGGATCTGTACCTAAGGAGCAGCAGTTCCCAACTCATCCCATCCCCTTTTATATCACTCCTCTGGAAGGGAGTAATCTCTGTCAGGAATTGGCCCTTATGAGAGAAAAGAAGGAAGAGGGAATTTTTGCACATAACTCCCCTACATTTGCACTGATTGCTTATCCAAAAGGTGAATGACTCCACTGCCTCACCCCTGAACCTGTCTGTCCAGCCAGGATAGCGGTCTGTGGTGGAGGAGATTTCAGTGCCTTTGTCTGTGGCATACTCTCTGTGTGAATCAAGCGGCTGTCCTGCTATGGAGATGCTCCACCTCGCAGGTCCTGCAGGATGGGGAGGACCGTGCCAGGAATGCTGCTGGTGTGCCAGGCTCAGCTGAGCTTCTGCACGGGAAGCCTGACGTTGGTGGCTGCAGGAGAGTCGCTTCTCTGTGCTGCGATTCCGTTCTTGCAGGAGGCAGCGTGTGTGACCCACAGAGGGATGTTTTAAAAATATTGGTCCTCTAGTACCACTCCTCACCCTGCCAGTTTTGCTAGGCAGTCTCCAATCTGATGTCTTATCCAGTAAAAAGCCCATCATGAGCAAAACTTTCAGAAACTATGGCCTGTAAGTCTTTAAGGACATGCTTATCTGTGGTCTGACACTAAAGTAGTATTTCCATTTGTGCAGGATTAGAGACTTTTAATGACATTTTCAGCTGTGTTATTGAGTAGCTCTGTACTTCCTGACTATTGCATCAAACGTAAAGGTGCCACCCTGAACACAGCCTTTACCGTACAGACTACACACCAGCTTTCATGTTCCACAGATACTTTTACCTCAAGAAGGTTCACCAGATATACCAGCTCAGCCCCCACAATGCGGACGTTGTTAACTGCTTCGGTGTACAAACCGCTAGAGCCACCTCTCCAGTCGGTCAAAATGCAGTTCACGTCTTCGGTGTGAAACATGAACTGGTGGAAAACATGAAAACAGGAGAACAGAAGCAAACAGGCATGAATTACAATTGTAGCATGGTATATGTAAACAATATTTTGTTTTGCTATAGCCAGGGACTCACTTTGTTTATGTGACTAGTAAAGACACATCTTTAGTATGTTAATTCCTACTAATACTGAAGAATCAACACAAGGAGGCAGAGTGGAGGCAGTGATTTGAAGGCTGTATAAAGACACACAGAAGCTTGCTTCAGTTCTGTTTTTCATTCCAGACGCTTTGGTTGGCTTTAGGGTATCAACTTCTCTTAATGACAGTACCCCAGTTAGAAAAAGAGGATAGTATGACTTCTTTTTTTATTGTCCAAGCTTTACTCTTCAAAATTCATATGCTTGGATCATCTAAAAGGATTCACAAATTTGTGTTCATGTGCTTGAATTGTTCAGCCCCAAAATTCATGTATTTTAACCAAAATATTGTATTTATACCCTTCTGGCAATGGAACACTCTAATTTTTCATTCTGAAGCAATTTCATTTTTGAAATGTGCCTGAATAAAATGAAACCAAGCTGCTGAACAAAGCATTTTGTTTTTATTAGATCAAATGCCTCACTCAAATTGAAATGTTTATTTTGACCTTTTGCTGAGGTTAGAAAAGTGACTTTTTTCCCCCTTTATTATTGGCAAGGAATTGAAAAATCAATTAATTATAGCTTTCCCTGTAGAGGTGAATGCAACAAAAGGGCATTTAGCAGAAGGCTGAAGTGCACTATACTCATAGCTAGGAACAAGAGAGCACTCATGTGGAACTGAGCTTCATTCTGAGTTTTTTCCCCCTCATATATTCCCTGAATTAACAAGAGAACAGAGGTGTAAATTTTATGTGGGAATTTTAAGCCAGTTAATGGGGTGATGTGGATATTTACACTTTCAAATACAAGTAAAATGACTGTCAGACAATAGTCGTACCATACCCTGCAGATATTTGTTATCCAGGGGAGGTCCGCTCCAGCAAGATGACCATGTATAATGAAGCGAGTTTTCCTGTGTGTTCGGAAATTTGAAGCTTTGATAGTTGAAGGATTTGTAGCAGAAATTTTCTGTGTCAAGAAAAACCAACCAACAAACAACACAACAAGGATGTGACGGCTCCATCCCAGTGTACATTTTGATACAGGGCAGAGTACCTCAATGGTTAAGGCAGAGTTCTGGACTCTGAAGAGATGGGTAAACTGCCTTGCTGGGGGACATCAATTAATCATTTCAACAAATGATTCACTTCCTCTAGTTAATTGAACTGATGATACTGGCATCCTTTGCACAATGTTTTGAGATTTACTGGTACAACATGCCATGTAAATACAAGATTTTATCAAACTTGGACATAGAAATACAAAGATAGCATCTTCTGCGAGGTATTATGCGGTTGACTTTGAATCTACCTATTTTTCTTTCTTTTTTCTTTGAAGATAAGACCTTCATCGCTTAAGTTTGTAAGCCCACCAGGCTTACAACATCAGAAGTGGTAGGTATTTTGGTGTTTATTGAGAAGGAAGGCGTTATTTTCTTTTAAAGAAATTCTGAATACAGGGTTGTTTTAAAACTTGGCTCTTACTTATTTTTTATTATTGTTTTGTAAGCTTAAAAGGGGATGTCATGCTCTAATTAGCACACATCTCACCTTCAATGAAAGACTGATTAAAGTTAAAACCTCGTAGGCCCTCTCAGCTGGAGATGTTGGACTTGTTCTGAGGTGACTCAAACAGGACAAATCATTAAACACCTCCACTGTTTGTGACTGCCATTTATAAAAAAAAAACAATTATGAAGCCTTTTTCATGTAATGTAAGCCAACAGCAGCAACAAATTGCCCCCCCTCTCCCCCCCTTCATGTTAATTTACTTCATTTTTCTTGCTCTTTGAGAAAGTAAAATTCACACTCTCTGACGGTCATATCTCTTTTTTCACCAGATTAGTGTATAGCTCCACAAAACTGCTCCATGCCATGGACAAGCCCCAGCCCAGACACCTCCGGCGCCTCGAGCATCCTGCTGTCAGCTTTTCCCAGCACTTGCTGATCTTCAGAGAAAAGGGCTGACACACTGCTGGCGTCTTTCAGTACGTTCCCGTTTGATCCATCCTAAACAGTCCTGCAGGCTCCTTTTAGCTACTTCCATTTGTCACTCTGTCACAGTCCAGAGCTTCCTCTCGCTGCCACTAGTTTGCAGATGTTGTAGATAACCTCACCTTTTAACTTTTTTTTCTTCCATACAGTTCCAGTCTGCTGTCTCTATGCTTCTCTACCTGATGTGTTTTCATGAGAGGTTCGACACTCTGTAAGAGAAACTTCCAAGCTCTCTCTAAGGTATATCTTGCCAAGTCTTTTTCTTTAGATTTTTAGTCTTCATTTTCCCTCAGTCCCATTCTTCCAAAAAATGTTTAATATTTGTTTATTTTCTTTATCCATCGCCATGTCATTCTTTTTCTGGTTGTTTCCTTCTTTTTCCACATACGATTTCATTTTCTCCTTCATTTTTTTCTTTAGCCTCCTGGTTTCCTTTCTAAGATTTCCTTTAATTTTTCATCCTAGTTTCCTTCTCCTCTCTGATGAATACAGATGCTTTCTCTTCTGATCTTAACTCTTAACTATTTACCTGCTCTTAGGACTCAATGTTGGCCACCACATAAGCAGAGCCTCTGAGACCAATAGTATGTAGTTCAGAGGACCTAGTAGTCATGTGTATGAACCACATACCTGAGTCGTGTGTATGGGCCTGAAATATGGTTTTAAGCTGGAGACACACAGGAGCCAAAATTGAGCTTTGCTTTTGTACTGCCTTCCCTACCTCTGGCTTTCTAACGCTGCCCTGAAACCGGATTTGGGCCATTAGCTTACTGTACAGAAGTATCCAAAATATCTCAGATGACTTGTGTTAGAAGGCTGCGATTAATATGTTGTAAATACACCTGGCCTGTCAGAGAGCTGAAATGAGAAAAAAGAAATGAAATGAAAGAAAATTGGGATGGACCATTCACGGAGTGTGTAATGTAGAATTGGGCCTTCTCCTGGGAGACTTCTGAGCAAAAATATGGGAGAAAAGAAACTGTCTGTAGAATTTGTTGAACGTGTAGTATACTATCAATTATTAAAACAAAGCAGTGTCTTACTTGATATTTCATCATGTTGTCTCTAGTGTAAAGGAAGAAATTGGTGTTCACAGCTTCTGGAGAGCTGGGCAAGCCTGCCAGTTGTCTCCCTGGGATCCCAGACCAAGGGGGGCTATCTGTAAAGCATCCAAGCCTTTTGTAGCAAACTTCCCTTCCTGGGGTACGCAAAGAAAAATGTTAGTGTTCTGGGAATGTAGCAGGTTAGGCTGCCACCACCTTACAAGAAAAATCCCTGGCAGGATAATGTTTATACCAGGGAAGCAGAAAATGGCTGATTGAGATTAGGATGGCGCCCGTGTTCATTTTTCATTAAGGGGCTCGATTGTGCTCCCGTGCCTTGGGCATGTAGCAGGACTTGAACTTCAAGACTGATTCCTGTTGCAAACATAGCAGAGAGCTCAGTTTGGTGAACTCATGACTTATTTTGTCAGAGATATTGTTAACACAGCCATCGGAAAAAGACAATAAAATCTTGATCCTTTATGGATCCAGAGAACAAATCAGCTTTTGCTGCCAGTGCAGAGCAGTCCTTCAAATTAGTGCGAATGCTCCAGGGATTATCTAAATTGTTATTTCTTGTGCAGCAATTCATGAAGGAGTAAAACGAAACCAAAACATTAAAATAGGTACCTCTGCTTGATCCATAACGTACATTAAACACCTCCCTTATTTTTTTATCACCAAAAGATTTTAGTGGAAGCAATGAAGTGGAATTTGAGTGGAAGCCTAAAGCAAAGGACAGCCTTGGGAAGTGTGGTCTGTGCCTGAAGGACTGGAGTTTCCCAATTTCTATTGTGGCTTTAATATAGTAATGATGCAAATATAACATATGGGTGTTGCCATTAAATGTCATCCTTACCCACTATTATAGCACAACAGTTGTGAAATCAGACTAATTTTTATTGCTATTAAAAAGATACTGAAAACAATGAGAAACTATTGTTATCTAGGATAGGTGACAGATTCATACTATATCAGGCCGTAATTTACTCTATTTTTTACTCTGTACAAAACACAGGGGTGGAGGGATATGTATGGGAAATACATCTAGAGAAAGAGAAGATTTAATTGTGGAGCTGCAGCTAGAGACTCCACAAGTGATCCAGTCATTTTCATAGGGCTCTTTCCTCTGATGCCAGTGAACTTTTGGACTGTGTCTTTTTGTTTCTTTCTGTGTGTCTGTCCCTGTTGAACTATTCTTTCCTATCGGTAAAGAGGTGTTTTGGAGTGGGACTGTTTTCTTGTTCTCTGCATAGCGCTGTGGAAGAGGAAGTGCCTAGGCTGGCATTACAAGCGTTGTAGCTACCATAAATGCTGGTATGGGTTGAGGGTGGGTAGGGGAAACTGGTCTGGAAGAATTTTAATATCAATTCTTATATAAAAATACCTTTCTAATTCCCATTCTCTTTGCTAGCTCCAAAAACCTTTACAGGATTAAAACGTAATAGGTTAAATGTGGGAAAGACATGATATAACTCAATGCTCCTGATGAAGAAGTCTGTTAAATCTATTCCAAAACCCATCCTTTTTCTAAAATATAGTTATTGTGGTGTAAGCTATACACAACAATCTTTACTGTTTATAGATTTTATCAACTATGTGTCTTACCTCTGGCTACATCAAGAAGAAAAAGAGTAGTGATCCATGCCGCAAACATCTAAAGCAAATAAGAACACATTTCAAATCTAATTAAAAATAGAATCTGGAATTCACGTAAGGGTTTCCTTGACCCATTAAAAAAAAAGTCATAGTTGACTGTAGGAGTACTTCATGCATTTAATGAGTTGGATCCAAAAGAATCAACACTTCCTTAAAAATAGCAAGGTTTCAGGAAAATACCTTTGGGATTCTTTCTGTTTGCCGTGGAAATTTTGTGTACGCAGGACATTCTCTAAGCATCTCTTAAAGATTGTCTACCTGACCTTGACAAACAGAAGCTTTTTTTTTTTCTCTAGAGCTGCAAGCTTTATGGGCAAGCAAATGAAATTCTTAAAGGATTTGCAACAACATTTTTTTACAGAGTGAAGTTTCTTCTAGCATTTAGTAGAAAAGTTACTCATAGAACTGCTATTCTGTGATTGTTTTTAAAAGAACCCAGGAACAAACTTAATTCGTGTTTCTAAATCATATGGATGGTCTTGAAAACTCATTTTGATCATTGCTACCATCCATGTGCGCTTATCAGCCCTGATCTGTTTGATCACTTAATCACCAGCTGATAGGTAAGCATCGGAGTAAATGGAACCAGTCATTTACTTCAAGGTGAAAAAAAATTTTAAGTGTAGTCTTACTACTACTAGTAACTTATCTTCAAAGGAAAGAAGATCATTCTTAGAAAACTCTAACATCAGGCCCTGATCCTCCAATGAGTCCTGCACAGGCAGAGTCCTGCACCCCCTTCCTCCCTCCCCACCCCTAGTCTCCCCAGTCCCCTGAAGTCACTAAAACGCTGTTAGGAGCAAAGAGTCCATCCCCGTGAAACCCACTGCAGGTTCAAGCATGTCCTTCTTCCATCTCCTCTCCTCCAGCCACTCACCAAATACCCCATACCTTATCACAATGCACCTAGTTTAAGTTCCTGAGATGCTCTTGTCTCCAATGTATGCCATTTTACCTTGGCAAGGCTCAGAGCAAGTTCTCTGTCCACCTCTCAGTTGATTGCGGCAAGCCTTGAAGAAGCCCTTTGAGGAGCCTGGAACGAAGCAGGACAGCACCGTGCCTGCCCGATGAGGGCAGGTGGCGGAGGGACGCTCACCCTGCTGCTGCACAAGGCTTGGGTTCCCAGCTGCATCTATGACTTTGTTGGGTTGTGCCAAAAGAGATCTCCTTGTGTCAGGCATTCTTCATCTGAGATAACACGTACCAGGTCAGACCAGTTGCTGTGTGACTCCACCTGTTTAATGCAAAGTTTCAAATAGGGTGTTATTGTCACTCATCGGTAATTATTTTTAAAGCTAAAAAGTACTGGGAAGTGTGATGTAAACACTGAACAAACACACAGCCTTTCAGGATCTGGAACAAGGCTCTCGCCACTGGCTGGGCTGCTCGTCTCGGTGTGATGCTGAGTTGGGATTCAAGCGACTTGGTATCACACCGAAGGCTGTAGCAGAGCCCCAGTCTTTTGGATCTTACTCCAGAGTTTTAACAGCAAAACCATCCTTCCTGGAGCTGATCCCTGGCTTAAATAATTTACAGTCTTAAGTAAAATTTTCAAATTTGTATTTGATATTTAAGTCTACCATTACAATATCAAGACACAAAGAAGGTTATGGGATCAGCTAGCATATATGTTCGCAGGGTTTAAGCTGTTACCTGAGAAAAGACAGAAAGAAAAGACAAGGAAGAAAAATGATAAAAAAATTAAATTGCTCAGTCTGTCATCTGTTATTTGTTTGTCTTGTAGTTCTCTCGTCTATAATTTTGCTAGTGGAATGAATTACCTGACTTTTCATTGAAAAGATGACAGAAATGCTTTTAAACAGGGGAAAATAGTTCCTTGAGCAGATCGTCACCACATCCAATCACCTTGAATCTTCGTAATTAAATTGTATTAATTGCAGTAATTTTAGTTTTTAGTGTTTTGATAATGATGTCTTTTCACATAGTACTATATTGTTGTTATACTATTACGTTAACATTTCTGATCAGGTTTTCCTAGAAATCTTTGTTCCTGTATGTAGACACAAATGAGAAACTCGCAACTCAACATTTTAATGTTAAACCCTTTAAGTAGATTGGGTCACTACTGGCACCTCCTAAACCAAGTGTGTACAGAAAGGGGAGACTCCGTTTTGGCATAATCCTTTCCACTGACTGATGACTTATGTCATATCTAGCACACAGAAATATGAACTGAGTTAAAGTTATTCTTAAGAGTGCTAGGTACAAAAACATTTTCAGTTTTTTTTTTTTTTTTTTCCCCTTAGCTAGCCTTGAGAGGTTAATTACTTCAGATACAGATTGTAGAAGCAAATAGATCCTCCATCTCAGTGCTCTGTAACCGTAGCAGAAATTTTTTTCAAGAGTAAGTTAGTCCAGTAAAGTATTGAATTATTCACATTAAAATTAATTTGAGTTATCTTCTGCTCACATAATTAAAGACTGTTGTTAGGGTGCAAATTGGTCAGTTAACCAGTCACCAATAGAATTCAGCAAACAAAAATCATTACCAGGTGTTTGGAAGAAATGGTTGAAAGAAACACTCAAAAAAAAAAAATCTGCTTCCAAGTTATCCTTGGTCATCCTGGCCAAAACTGGATTCAGTGATAGTTACACGTTCTGGAACCTGGTATTATAGTCCCAAACCCTACCTCAACCCTCTGCTGCAACAGGGACTTCAACAGCAGTCTGGTAGTGAAGATTTCGGATCACTTACAAGATTCAGTGACTTTGCCAAGTTAAAATTAGAATGACAAGATATTTAAGGGCTTTTGATTGTACCCATGATGAAAGCATCGTTGTTTCACATCCTAGATGCAAATGTGCTTATTCCATTCGGCTGGAGTAGATGAACATTAGTTTTTTGCCCTCCATTACCAAAACCAGTAAGGAAAATTCCTTCTGTCCTGAAATTTTGTCAATGAATGTGTGTTTTCTTGAAGGATGAAGTGGTCAAAGGTGGAAGAAGGTTCTTTCTGCAGCTCAAACACAGCTTTGTGCAGTCTCTCCTAAAAGCTCTCTTCTATAGCAATATCTGTAAGAGGGGAACTTACATGATGAGGTACGGTGCATATAATATGTTATGATAAAGAATAGGACTAATAGGAATAATTCATTTAAGTTATTGTGCAGGGCTGTTTATGCTATTTTTTTTTTCTTTTTGTCCTTTAACTGTAATTGCACCCACTTGTCATGTCTTAACCTGGAGAGCAAACTTTCTGGGCAGGGACTTACCTACCTACCTCTGCACATTGTGGGGTGTGTAACTGAGTTTTGGGTAGTGTATGAATCATTTTTATTTTAAACGGTAACAGTAATGTAAAGGTCACCTTCTCCAGTACATCAGTTTTAAGGCTCTCCCTAAAGAAGTAACACTTTTGAATAAAAAACCTTGAATACCAGCAAGTATTCTTCTATTCTTTCCAGTCTGCTTGGCTGCTGAAATAGATACGAAGGGATTGTTATTCTTTTTGTCTGCTGCTCCTTCATTATGATCCAGCTTCTAATACCTTTATTGACGCCAATCCCAATGGAATCACTCATAGAATATAATACTTCTTAGCTAAAGAAAGAGCTTAACCAAAGGTTAAGTTCTATTTGCTTTGTATTTTAACACCATTTAAACTAACAACTGTTGTGTGACTTATTTGCACCTCTCATGGTACTTTTCTTGTACTTCTTGAGGTGAGCCTGGAGCTACCATGAGATTTGGTCTGTAATGTTCCTGACTACTTTTTGTCCCAGTAATTAAAATAGAGTGAAGAAGTAATTTAAGAGCATTGGCTCCTATCTGCTCTCCTCATGGCAATATGAATTTTCAAGGATGCGAGTGTGTAATTAGCCATCCTTTATTTACTGCTTACCTCTCTGTTTACTAGCCTTCTGGCTTGGTTAAGTATAACACTTACTGGTACTCCTGAGAAGATGGGTGAGGAATGATTAAACTTCACAAGGAATACTGCGGGAAACATTCCCCTGAGCTTCATCTGGCCTTCTACTCTCTAAATCAAAAAGTGCTACCTAGCCTGGTCTGTCCTGGACGTATCTGGCATATCTGAGTAGGTCTGAAACCTCCCACTACCATGCCACAAAGTTATTTAATTCAGTGTCAGTTTAGAGCTCCTGGAAAACTGGAGATCCATATCCTGTCGATGTAAGAGAGCAGAGATAAGCATCCTCTTTCAGCCCTAGTACTGTTTAACTTTCTTTCGGCAAAATTCAGTAAAATCAACTTCAGGTTGGAAAAAATGGGAAAAAAATTGTATTTGCACAGAGCTTCAGTTTGATAAAACATCCCTTTCCCTGGAGCAGTTTAGAGAAGAAAAGAATTCAAACAGTGTTAGTGAGTTCAAGCTTTCAAGCTTTCAAGCTTGAAGACATGTATTTTATTATTTTCACATTGTTAATAACCATCTGATTAGTAATAGATTGTGCTTGTCTCTACAGCAGCTACTTTGCAGATTGTAAGAGTCGAGCCTACACATTTGAAACAAATACAGTAGGTCAGAGTCGCTGATCAGATTCAATAGATTTAGACAGATTTACATCAGGTAAGATCTGAAATTAGTGTCTTAATAAACAAAATAAATTTATTATTGCAGTTATGTCTTAGTTTGTGTCAAACAGAATTCCAATTCAGTTAGCTTTTCGTCATTTCTGTGATAAAACATTCTTGTGCTGGACGCATATTTTGAGGACATTGAATTTAAAAATAGGAAACTGAAGAATGTGATAGAAACAGAAAATTTTAAATCTCCTCCAGCAAGGTATTTTAAGGTCTACGGACACTATGTGTGTTGATCTAAATTTCAAGATGTGAATTAGTTAACTACAGTGCAAAAAAAGAAATAAATAAATAAACCTTTGGACTTTTTCCTAACTCATTGCCATTTCTTTCTTTCTCTCATCAGGCATCTAGCATGAAATTATTGGTTTTGTACTTTTGAAAAGTTAGAAATTATTTTAAGGAAAGACAAACACCATAGAAAATGGATTTCACAGGTTAACAGGAAAGCATGGAATAAAGATTCTAATCATAACTGTTTTCCATAGCCCTGTAGAAGGCTGTGGTAAATGAATTGTAATTAATCATGATGAATTTTGTTATACGGTTTAAAGATTACATGAAGTGGTGGGATAGAAGGTCTATCTGAAGGCCTTTGATTTTATATTTCTGAATTTTTGATTGTGTTAATTAAAGCTGATGGTTATTAGTAAAATAGGAAGCCATCCTTTATGAGATAATTGGGACAAATCCCTATCTGGTAGTGTAATTACTGAAATGCTATGCCTTTAGGAACACTATATTTTTTTTAGTTGCTGCTTCTGTCTGAAATTAAAGATGACATTTTATATTAAACAGGTAACATCAGCTTGTGGGATGGCTGAATTATTTTCTATATGTTGATAAAATCATTTTATGTATTTATTTCTGAAATGTAAGACTAAAGATAGACATAGACATTCTACATATTCTAGTCCTTCACCAGATTTCCTCTGTATTTCAGTCTTAATCAGGTTTTTAATATCCTTATATTTCATTTTTCCCAAACCAGTAAATGACTGTAATTGTCAGAGCAGAATGCTCCATGTTTAAAAATGGATGATAAAGTCAATAGAATGATATTAATTTATACAAGCTGTTAATAGAAACACCTAATAAAATAATTAAGTGGTTTCATATCGGGCCTTTGATGTGATATGTGGCCTGGTTTATGTGGGTTTGTTGTTATTTTGCAAGCGCGGGTTCTGTTCCATCGCACTACCTTTAACTTCAGTGGAGTACAGGAGGTTTACGTCAATTAACTACTTGTGGTGTGGCAACACATGTGATGGTTTAATAAAACTCTGTATCATTTTTGTAGTATCCTAAAAAAGGTCTCGCAGCCTTGACTGCAGGCTTGTGTTTGTCCCTGATTTGTGTCTTGTCTGGAGAGGAGGTTTGAGTTTGGAGCTGTGCACCTAGGGCATGGTGATCTATACATGGTGATCTATAGATTGCTTCCTCAGAAGGACCCCTGGAAGGGGCTGACAGAAGGAGAAGCAGTACATGGATGGTTCCTGAGGTCTGCTTGGTGCCTCTCACTGGCTTTGCCACTCCCTGTACAAAGGGATGACTTACACAGGGAATAACCTTTTATCACATTTGCTTGTGACACAAGACTGCCTGTAAACAGGAAGG